TAATTTCCCAAAAATTCTATCTCCAGATTTAAGATTACTTATACTTATTTCGTTGCAATGAATGAATCGAAATACGAAATAAATTCTTCATTTATTGAACATTTTTTGTAATATTAATTATCGTTTGTACAACTGAGGTTAACAACTGAAGTTAATCAGTTTGAAATAATGAAATATTTGCTTATTGTTACTTGGAGGAGCTGGCAAGCAAACGAGAAAGATGAAAGAGAAGGATATTCGTTATGGTATAATACACACGAGCGTACAGATTCTGTTATTATAATTAATTAATTAGAATTTACCATCCATAAACATAAGCAATGCAAAATCATTACGATTTCGCATTGATGATGGCCGGCTTAATAGCTTTGTTTTCTTAATAGCCAAATTACACGTTTGTGCGTTGCATCGTTAAAAATAGTTCATTTGTGTTTGATCTAACGGAGGCATGGACTTCGTTTGAAAGGATACCACACCTAGGTTTGCATAAGTGATCAGAGATAAAGCAATGAATCATCGAAGGTAACGATTTTCATCTAGTTTGTCTTGCTTCTTTTCACATCATGTGCGTTTTAAAAAATTCACTCCATTGAAAAACATTTCGACGTAATAAAGTGTGAAATAAAATGATGTTTCGGAACGATATTTCCTACAACCGGGGAAAAAAATTATTATAGATATTACATGAACGATAATAAATATATAATTATTTCTCTTTAGGTTAAATAAAGAGCTATATAAATGTAATTCTGAGGATGAATTATAAAATTGCAGATAATTGCTCACGAAAGTATTCGAACACTCGTAGGGAATTTTCATGAGTATATTATACGTTTAAAAGTCTTAAGACACGTTTCAATAACCAGTATCTATCTAGTTATTAATAAAATTTTTCCACGCATGTATTTTATAATATAATTCTTAACTTAATATATCACTATATTTTTAATATATAATGTTTAATTAACTTTTGACGTATTTAATATACTCAATTTTTCCAATTTTGAAACAAATATAATATTCGTTCTAAAGAATAATTTGTATTGGGCCTCGAAAATCTTCCTTGTTATTTACTTCGTAAATCATGGCGAAGCAAACTTCAAAGAGTAAAATTAACCAACAACATTCTAATCTATAGTTGACTAAATACATTTGCGAGCACACGTTATGTCGAATTCTTCGTTGCTTCCTTGTTTCTCGATCTCCTCTCGCTTTCCTCACGCGTCTGTGCCCAATTCTTTACGTTTTCGTGGTCGCGAAATGTCAGAGTGCAAGGGAGAGGACGTTACGAGAGACAACGATCATGATCGCACGAAGAGAAACGAAGATGACGACGAGGTGAAGATAACAGGAAGCGAGAAGCGTTGCAAACTGTGCAAAGAAGTAGGTTCTGATCCTCGATTAGGTTATGATTGGACTGCGGATGTTTCATGAATACGAGGAAATTGTTTCATTTGCTAAATATATTACAATACATTTATATTATAATACAATATATATATACATTCTACTTTGAATTATAGTTTTATATATTTTCACACCTAATATGTGTTTCATTCCTAAATTATACGTAGCGTTCAAAATTAGTGTAAATCACATATAATAATTATTTTACTGAAAATGGACTTTTCACCGATTAGGTTCGTTTAATATCAACCAATATATATATATATCGATAATTAATAATTATTATAATTAAAAATTATGAAAAATTATCACAATTATCACAAAATATTAATTAATACATATTAATACAAATATTGTTTAATCAATCATATTGCGATCTACAGCGATCTCAAATTTCTAAAAAAATGCACGAACCGTCCGTTGTCCAATTACGATAACGTCCATGAAAACACTGAGGCTAAAATATTCGTTTTGACGAATCGCCATGCTATATCCATAAGATTACTGTTCCCTATCTGCTGATTGCATAATTCATTACATAAAAGGCAACCATTTCCAAACAAACGGACAACGCAACGTTCTTTTTCCATTTTCTCCTCGCTCTGCCCCCCTCCAACTTCTCCTTTCCCCCTTGCCCGCGTCCTTCTCATCACTTTTCCCTATTCTTCATTTCCCCCCCCC